AAAAAAAAAAAAAAAAAAAAAAAAAAAAAAAAAAAAAAAAAAAAAAAAAAAAAAAACAAGAGTCAAGTTGGATGATACGGTTGTGTGTACCTGCCGATGTATCCCTTCCTGCGATCGAAGAGCTGGAGGTCGGAGAGCCAGCCGAGGCCGAGTCTGCCGCAGAGGTCGAAGACCGCGGACACGGCGACGAGGTAGCCGGCCTCTGGTTTCGTGTAGCCGCTCCCGTGGACGTAGGCCGGCAGGTAGTAGAGCATGTACGGGCTGCCGGTCGACATGAGGCTCACCGACAGGCACATGAGTATGAAGCGGGACTCGCGCAACAGGCTCAGATCGATGTACCGGCCGATCCGCTGGCCCAGGGACTCCTTGGAGGCGCACACCTCGGCCGTTAAATTACGAATGGCTATTTGGGGCTGGCTGAGGCTCGCCGTTGTTGCGGGAACGTCGCCCGCGCTGTCGCGAGGACCTCCCGGGCAGACCAGCAGCGCCGACGAACGCAACGACCTGTCGATCGGAGCACTGTGTTACTTGTACACTGTTTTTATTTTTTTTTTTTTTTTTTTTTTTTTTTTTTTTTTTTTTTTTTTTTTTTTTTATGGTTACAAGTAAGGGATGGCGACCTCTGGGACGAGCGGGACTTGTAGAAGCAGGTCGAGTCGGTGGACAGGTCCTCGACGCTGTGGAGTATGCTCGAGCTGCGGATCTTTGGGATCGGCCTCACGCTCGGGCCCTCGCCCATTATGTCCTTCTCCTCCTCGCTGTCGGTCAGGTCTATCGCCAGCTCTGATTGCACAGCGGTACGTTTTACATACATTTTTTTCCCCCTCCATACCCCAGATCACATGTACATCGTGTAAAACGATCGAAAAAAAAAAAAAAAACAAAGTAAAGATTACATAGGGTCGAGGGTTACGTAAAGTGTTCGGAGTTTGTTTTTCTTACATGTGCCGATTACGTAAACTTTGAAACAAAAAAGAAAAGGAAAAAAGAATGGCTTCGAGTCTTTACGTGACGCCAGAGATAGAGAGTAGGTATGAAATGTGCTCTTGGAGTTGGTGAAATTTTTGTTAAACAGAGTATCGAGGATTAAAAAAGTCTACAGGCATCAAAAGCAAACAAGGAGGGAAAGCCGAGGACTGACCGTTGGCCCGAAAGTTCTGGTGGAAGAGCTCGTTGACCATGTTGTTCTTGGCCGTTTGGTCGTGGACAAAGAGCATCTCGAGTCTCTGCCTGGTGTCGTGGCTCTGCTCGTGGTGGAGTTGTTCCGCGTCCTCGTTGGGCCGCGCTTCGTCCTCCTCGGGCTTGTGGTTGTTCTCGAGGGGCCTGTAGAGGCTGGCGCTCGCGCACACGTGCAGCATGCAGCCCCCGAGGATGAGGAGGGTGCCGTGGAAGCCGTAGCTGGCGACGAGGAACTCGATGAGCATCGGGAAGACGAAGCTGCCCGCGGCCGTGCCCGAGACGCAGATGCCGTTCGCCAGGGCTCGGTGCTTGTCGAAGTACTGCGACACGAGGATTATCCCCGGTGTCGTTGACAAACCGCCGCCGATGCCTGTGCGAGTCCACATAATGGTATATTTTTTTTTATTCACAGAGATAGGCTTTTCATTGCTCACCAGTCAAGACGCCGAAAGTGAAAAGAAGATGGATCAAGGAGGTCGCGAAGTAGCTGCTGATCAGACCCAGGGAGCAGAACAAACCACCGACGAACACCACCTTGCGGCAGCTGTACTTTTGGCTCAGCATGCTGGTCACGGGTGCTAAAGGGAAGGTTTTTTTTTCTTTTTTCAATAACTGCTAGTTTATTTAATTTTTTTTTTTTTTTTTTTTTTTCTGATATTGATCCGAAGAGTTTAGGCGGTTATGTCATTGGTATTTCGTTCGGTTGCATCGAGACGCTATATGTACCTGTAAAGGCGAGAGGGGGGTAGTTATACCCGCTTACCTCCTTACACAGTGTACGTATACAACATGTAATTATATTTCACACGTGTAGTCGTGAATAATCGAATTTACCCGTGCGTATTTACTTACGCGTACAGAGTAAAAAAAAAAAAAAAAAAAAGACAACCTACTTGCGAGTGCCCCTATATGGGCGTATAATCGCCTCGCGAGCTTAACGCTGACGTAATCAGCTCTGTAGGGAGAACAAAATAAAAATCGTTCGCTTCTACCTTTCTTATAATTGTTGAAACCTTCTTGGAGCTTCTTTTCCTTTCGCGTCCGAGAGAAGTAAGCTATCGACTCGCACGGCTATTCTTAGATCATGGGTACCTATACATGCACTTACCGGCGATTGATTTTCCCTTTTCTTTTCTTTTTTTTTTTTTCGTATGGTACGCCGGAAGGAAATTAATTAAAAGACGAGAAAGAGGGAAAATGATGTTGTTTTTTTTTTTCCTATTTCAATTGCGTAATTCGCAGTAGTCGATCTGTACTTGGCTGATCGATCGGAAGAGAAGAACATGACAAAAGCTGAGAGTCTTAATTTCTAGGGGGACACGACGGCAAAAAAATAATCCGATTTCCCGTTTGACTCGATGGAGAAAAAAAAAGTTATCGATGTGGGTAAGCCGATCGGTAAAGATCGTATTAATTCATACGATCCGGAGGAAGCAGGAGCTCGTCAGTTTTATAAGTGTACGTTGTTTCCTGCGATGTAACACTTTAATGCTTCTAGGAGGAAAGAAACGTCAAGTTCCCGCGTTTCATCTGCATTTTCATAAAAATGTAAAATCATAAGAAGCAGTCGAGGCACACGGGAAATTGCGCAGTGCGGAAATTAAGCCCCTGCACTTTAAAATGGAAAACGAGAGTTTTGGCCTTAAAGTTTTTATGTCTTTATTGTTTCGAATTATTTTGCAAAAAATTGTGTGCAGTCAGTTTATATGGCTATAAATTTTAATTAGAAGAGAGGATTTTAATTTCTAAATTGGAATCATAAATTTTACTTGGTGAATTTACTGTCTTTTTTTCCCCCCCTTTTCCTCCACGCCCCTTCAGTTTCTTTTTAAAACTATTATTATTTATTCTTTCACTCTTTTCTATTTTCGCTCTCGTTACTTTTTTTATTCTTGGCAAACTACGCGGTCCTTTTTAACGCATTTCCAAGTTTGTTTCCAACTTTGTTTTTGCTTAACTAAATTTAGACTCAATCGGTTGTTAAAAAAAAAAAAAAAATGTTCGTTTTTTTTTCTTCCCGTCAACTTTTTCAAAGTCCTCAAGAGAGGAAGCGCGTAATTTTTCGACCACTGACGTCATATCTCGCAATGAAACACCGAGTATTTCATAAAAAATACGCCGTAAAATTCATCGTGCAAAGCCGCGCGCGTGCGATGATTTACCTCGTCCATAGCGAAAAATTCTCAGGAAAAGGAAAATCGTTTGCGTTGAACGAAAAACTACCGATTGTTCTGCTCAAACTACAAAATGTATTCATATCACTGATGACCATATTTTTTTTTTTTTTTTTTTTTTTATTTTTTAGAAAAAGAGTCGCGTTATTTTTCGACAAACTCTCGAGAAACAAAATAATCCAAAACACCTTCGATCAAATTACACGCGTACATATAGTACATAAATGGGCAAACTTTGTTTTTCCCACTTGTATAAAACGTGTATTATGCACCGGCAAAATTCACCGGCCCAGCAAAGCTTCCCGCGCCCTCTCTCGTTGCACCTTGGCCAGTCCTTGACCTCGACCTACACTTCCTCTCGGCTGGCACTCTGCGCTTGCACTCCCGGTGATTTCAACTACTTATTACACGTACATTATATCAGCACAACTGTGCATCTTATCGCTTGTATTGTTCCATACATATATATGCATATACACGTACACGTAAATTTAAAAGCTCGTGCACTCGGATGACCGACAAATACCGAAAAAGATCAAAAGTGGACCGCCAAACTGCATGATGCGCTGGCGCGGTCACGAATTGCGTTGGAAGTACGTTACAGGAGATGTTCACTGATTCGTAAACTTGACGCAAAGTCGGAATATTTTTTTTCTTTTTTTTTTTCACACGTGTGTGATTGATTGGCCATCTATTGTTCGTGATTCCAATATATGGAGAGTAAATATTTAAAAAAAAAAAAAACANGTGTAATACGAATAAGACGAACGCCCACTCGGGATGTGTATATGTACATAGCGACGATAAGACTCTGGACGTCACAACTTTTATGTGTCACACGCGTGCACTGCGAATAATATCCATACGCATATATTATGTACATCGGGTCTGGCGTGTATATGTATTATTTAAAAAAAAAAAAAACAAAAACAAAAGTAAATAAAGTGCACCTCTGTACATAAATTGCAGGGAAGATTGATGACGCACGTGTGTTGGGTATCTCTTTGGAAAAAAAAAAAAAAAAAAAAAAAAAAAAACATTTGTGTGCAACAGCGCTAAAGTACTGCAACGCACTCTATTTCCCAATGAACAAAAAAAAAAGTAAATTAAAAAAAGTCAATACAGCGTAAGCAAAAATAATGCACTAGTCGGTCTTTCTCTGCCTCGAGCCAATGAGAAATACAAGGCTACGTAGATTATCATCGCGTTTCCATAGGCTCGAGCAACCACCAGAGAAAGATGGAGTAGGACACACACTATACGCGCAAAAGAATATGTCATATTGTAAAAAAAAAGTCCATTTTAGCGAGTAGATGCCTCGACATGTTTTTCAATTTATTTTCAACTACACGACTAAAAAGAAAAAAAAAAAAGGATACGTCCGGCCATCCGGTTGGAGCATCATCAGTTTCAATCGAGAGCTTTTGTGGTGGGTACAATTAAAAACGCCCTTACACGTCAAATGCACGCGAGAAAGCGACAGCGCGCCGAGTATGCACAAAATCAATCGTATCGTCGCTGGCCATCGGCGAGGTTGGCCTCTATATTCATTACCGGCGATGAGTACTGCAGGATTGATGGATGTACGTACGGTTGGTTGGGAAAATCATTATCCGCCGTTGAATCGCGATAGGGAGACAAAACTAAACCTTTTTTTTTTTTTTTGGAAAATGTTGATTTGCCGGTGATGGGGGAAAAACATCCTTTAGGGGTACATGTAATGTATGAAAAAACAACGGCAACTTTGACTCACCCAAAGCCAAGCAGAGGCAGGACAGTATGGCCGGGACCCAGGAGGCGAGGGATGCCGAGGCGTCGGTGAAGGTCTCCATGACCTCGACGTAGAGCACGCCGTAGGACTTGACGAGGCCGGCGACCCAGAACTGCACGAAAAAGGCCCCAAAAACGACGACCCAGCCGTAACCACCGTCCAGGGGCTCGAAGCTGACCTTCACCTGCCTGCGCGTCTTTTTTTTCCTCGGCTGTTTGCTTTTCTTGCGAGCCCTACCGCCGAGGGCCGAGGTGCGCTTGCAGCCCTGCAACTCGCGCGACTTGGCTATGAGCGGCCGAGCCGTCAGCGAGGAGATGGTCAGCAGGTTGTCGTTGTCCTCGTCGTCGAGGGTCTCGGGTGGGCTCAGGTGCGGGGGGACTATCGGGGTCGACGTGGCTGTTGTCTGCACCACCAGCGAGGCCGGCCTGTAGTCGTGCAGGTAGTGGCTGCTGTCGCACACACGAGGCAAGACAATTAATCATTTCTTCCTATTTTCTCTTTCCTCGGTCGTAGCTTTACGGATATTTAATTCAACCATCGGCAGTTTGCCATTCACCACCAAACAATGCGTGCAACGTTTAAAATAAAAATAAAAAAAAAAAAAAACAATCCCACTGCTCTTTCTTGAAAATCACTTTTTTACGTGGCAGAGCTCCCCTTTTATCTTGATTGGGATGCAATTGGGTGTCGTCATCTGGATGACGGCTCCAAAGGTGGAAAACCAAGCGAAGAATAAATTAAATATCGCGATTGTCCAAAAAATAATTAACTCTATAGGTGTTTTGTCACCCGGACGGAAAAACACCTTCAAACGGTAAATATATATAATATTCAATTAAAAAAAAAAAAAAAAAAAAAAAAGTTCTCGAGATACTAACTTTTTCGCCGAGTCGGAATCAGCATTGCAGTTGTCGTAGACGGGCGCCGAGTGTATGGAGAAGAGAGAGCCCAGCTGATTGTGATTGTTCATGTTCTCGTCGATGGCATTGTTGTGCATGTGGTGGACGTGGTGGTAAAAGCCGTGGTGGTTGTTCGGTATGGCCTCCTGGGACGTGGCAGTGGTAAGCGACGACGAGTTGTACTGATGCAACAGGCCATCGCCACCCGCTTGGTAGTAGTCGTTGTCACCGCCCGAGGTGGCCTTGACGGCTGCGGCAGCGGCCTTACGGATCTGTACCCCCGGCTGTTGCTGGGCGTGACTGGTGTGGCTCCACTCGCGCGGCAGCGACATGGTACCAGCGACTTTTTGTCCCGGGCGAAAATCGTACTTTTGTTTTTCGTGCCGTTTTTGTGGCCGCCGGTGTTTTCACGCTTACTGCAACCACGGGCTTCGCTTGGGCCGGCTAGTATGAGATCGGCCTCGCTGTTGATCAGCTTACTGCTGCTGCTACTGCTCGCGGGTCGACGGCCGGCGCGAGAACCGGGATACATTGGACCGCCTTCGTGGGTGCCTCTGTGGGCCAGCTCGGTCGCAAATATAATTATATTTTCCTTTTTCTTTTTTTTTCTTTTTTTTCTTTGTTTTTGTTTTTTTTTTTTGTTTTTTTTCTTCCGTTTGCGTGCCTCTACTGCTGCTGCTACGTTGCTATCTCTGGAGGTGCCGCTTGCGAGACTGGAGAAATCATACAAGGGGGGAAAATCGGTATTAGACCTTTTTTTTTTTGTTTTCTCTATAGTTCTGTGGCTCGAATCGAAGGAAATTAATGTTGTTTTATACGCGTTGCGTTTAAAAATAGCTTGAACATCGTTACTTATGCATACGTGTAATACGAATAAGACGAACGCCCACTCGGGATGTGTATATGTACATAGCGACGATAAGACTCTGGACGTCACAACTTTTATGTGTCACACGCGTGCACTGCGAATAATATCCATACGCATATATTATGTACATCGGGTCTGGCGTGTATATGTATAGGGTGTTGTAGAAAGTACGCGTGACTTTACCTGTACTTTTTTCTATTCTTTTCTGTTTTTTTTTTTTTTTTTTTTTTTTTCCACATGTTTTATTGCGCGGGTCGACGATCCCTACCTGAGAAGCAGGCAGTGCCGACAATGAGATATGTCAGGGATTTTTCATAGCTTCCTTCATTATGTTAGCTATTTTCAAAGTTTGGGGAAAGGTAAACAATCGTATACGATAGAAAAATAATATTTATTTAGCCATATACTTAAAAATAAGTTTATGAACGTGCCTGACTCTTCTCTTAGCGGTTTGAAAGGCAAAATAATATATCTTTATACTAAATTAAAAAA